TATTTGCTGTACTCTGGTTTTGAGCTTTAAAAACAGGGCTAAAAAGAATGTCAAGTATGAAAGTAAATAACATTAAAACACAGTTCTACTTATCCATTTGGGTTCTTTTCTGCTTCTGTCTGAGTAGGTCAGGATATTAGACAGCTAATAGCATGGCCTTAGCTTTTAGTAACACAGAATTTTTAGTAACACAAAAAAATTCAGCCATCTACCTGGTAATGGCTTCACGACAGTTCACCTGTGCAGACTCATTCTCCTTTTCCCAAGATGGCTTATACTATTAGGTTTTTTACTTTGCTCCTGAAACTTGGTCTCCAGCTAAGTTTGTAAGTCAGAAACTTTAACCAAAGGTAGTCCTATCTATTGGGCTTACATTCCAGAATTCCTTGAAGGAAAAAAAGGAATAGCCGTGTTTCTTAAAAAATAAGTATACTCTATTTATTGCCTTAGATCAGTGATGGCGAACCTATGCCATCTACCTATTAAATTTTCAACTCATTTTTTTGGTTGATTTTTCTTTGTTAAATGGCATTTAAATATATAAAATAAATATCAAAAATATAAGTCTTTGTTTTACTATGGTTGCAAATATAAAAAAATTTCTATATGTGACACGGCACCAGAGTTAAGTTAGGGTTTTTCAAAATGCTGACACGCCAAGCTCAAAAGGTTCGCCATCACTGCCTTAGATCATTCTTGAACTTAAACAGTTTTTATAACATGCTTTAGTGTTGCTGCGACACCATTTCTGCCTGCTGTGTGCAGACCATTAATAGTCTGCTCTTTATCTGTTAACTGAGCCTGTGGGCAGATACCCACTTTCGAGTACGGTACACTCCCTACTTACACATTCAAGTAAAAGAACCCAGAATCAGAGCTGGCTCACTGCAACTTTACTTGTTATGTAATTTCTGTACCATATGCCTCAAGGCCTTCTTAAATTTTATGAAGGCTTGTGTGTCCTTCATAAAATTCCCTTGTAGTATTTATAAGTAAGGAATCTAACAAAGATTCTTATTATTTATACTTTTATTCATGTAATTAAAGAAGTATCTCTCTGTTAACTGTGCTATACTGTTTTGGCAAATTTTGTATTTTATTTTCACTGTTATCTAGTGTTGTTTATAGAACTTATCCAGGCATCTCACTTGATATATAAAAAATATATTTATCTCCCTAAATATAATTCCTTTCACATTATAGTAGTTCAAGGGGAAAGAACCTATGTGAAAACACTGCTTCTCATTAGACATGAAGTTTCCAACAGGTAGGGATGTCCCATCATTTTATCTTAGTAACTTCATACTGAACACACAGGATCCAACACAAGCAGTGCTTACTGCCTTAATAAATGAAAAATCCTAGGAGATGATCTCTGCAATATACTTTTTCCTGCTTTAAAATTACCATTGTACCTCACCCCCCCCCCAAGTCAGTCTCATTACTAATATTAAAATAGTCCTTATAGGGCAAAGATAATAAAAGAGCAACATAAATGTCTTATATTTCAGATATTCTTGAGATTCTTAGTTTTTAATGGGAACTGTGGAAGAGTTTGATGGTGACTTTAGTTGCTATAGAACAGTGGTCGTTCAACTGCCTGTAGGGAAAGACTGGTGTGTGTTTGTTTTTTATATAGTTTGTTTAATTTCCAAAGCGTTGTGGACTAATTTTCTTGTAAAATACAATGAAAGTAGTGGGGTGACATCAGATTTCCGTTAGTCTTCCTATCCTTGTCGCAGGCAGGTAACAAAGGTCCGCAGACCATACTTGGAGTAGCACTGCATAGCATTCACTTTGCTTCTTGTTTACTTGAACCAGTGTTTTACATATGTTGCCTAATCATTTAATCCTGCACATTTAATCCTATGGCTTAAATGAATTTTTCTAGTTTTCCTGTTCATTTTTTGAAATGTATGTTGTTATTGATTTTTAGAGAGAGAGGAAAGGAGAGGGAGAGAGAGAGATAGAAACATCAACATTGATTGCCTGCCTCCTGCATACCCCCTGCTGGGGATCCAGCCTGCAATCTTGGCATGTGACCTGTGACCAGGAATCGAACCATTAACCTCCTCGTGCAAAGGTCGATGCTCAACCACTGAGCCACACCGGCTGGGTTCCCTGTTCATTTTTTTTTTTTTTTGAACACTTGGCCTAATATAAAGTTCAAGGCCAGTGTAGGGAATTTCTTTTAGATTCTTTAAAAGTTTTATTACAGATAATTAGTTGAGAGAAAATTAAGCTCAAGATTTCTTAATGCTTTGCTTTATTCCAAAATGTCTTTTGACTATAGTCTCCTTCATTCTTTTCAGAACACAGATACCAGAGGATTAAGTCCTACAGCAAAGTATTCAAATAGAAGAAACATTCCCTACCAAAAAATTTAACTCATAATATCTAAGTAAAGAACAGATTTTCCAAGCACTTCTCTTAAAACCCCAGTGCTGAAATGCTAATGACCTTGCAATGTGGACAGTACAGTACACCAACACGTTTTTCCTTTAAGATGTAGGTTTTAACAGTGAAAACAATTATTGAATACTAGAGGCCCGATGCATGAAATTCATGCAAGGGGCTCGGCCCTCACAGCCGAGGCACGTTGCCTCGGCCCTCGCAGCCCCGGCTTCGTCCGGAAGGTTGTCCTCTGTCCGGTCTAATTAGCATATTACGCTTTTATTATAGATGTGTTTCTGTGTGGTCTGTAAGAGACTAAAACTGCTTTCCCTTGGACTTTTCTCTTGTCTTTTCAATTCTGATTAAAGTACAGCTGGAAAGGAATTTACCAAAATATAAAGGGAACACACATCATGTATTGGAGCTCAGTTTCTTTTATGTTTGAGCAACTCTTGAACAGTGGAAAGCTGTAGGAAATTAAGGACAGCTAGCCACATGTGGGTACTGGGAGCTCTTACACTGGTTCTTTTCATCTGAAGACTTTTCTCTCAGCAATTTCTGAAGCCATTTAATTCATTATTATAAACACAGATGTTTAACTGTAAGTGCAACATTGATTGCCTGCCTCCTGCATACCCCCTGCTGGGGATCCAGCCTGCAATCTTGGCATGTGACCTGTGACCAGGAATCGAACCATTAACCTCCTCGTGCAAAGGTCGATGCTCAACCACTGAGCCACACCGGCTGGGTTCCCTGTTCATTTTTTTTTTTTTTTGAACACTTGGCCTAATATAAAGTTCAAGGCCAGTGTAGGGAATTTCTTTTAGATTCTTTAAAAGTTTTATTACAGATAATTAGTTGAGAGAAAATTAAGCTCAAGATTTCTTAATGCTTTGCTTTATTCCAAAATGTCTTTTGACTATAGTCTCCTTCATTCTTTTCAGAACACAGATACCAGAGGATTAAGTCCTACAGCAAAGTATTCAAATAGAAGAAACATTCCCTACCAAAAAATTTAACTCATAATATCTAAGTAAAGAACAGATTTTCCAAGCACTTCTCTTAAAACCCCAGTGCTGAAATGCTAATGACCTTGCAATGTGGACAGTACAGTACACCAACACGTTTTTCCTTTAAGATGTAGGTTTTAACAGTGAAAACAATTATTGAATACTAGAGGCCCGATGCATGAAATTCATGCAAGGGGCTCGGCCCTCACAGCCGAGGCACGTTGCCTCGGCCCTCGCAGCCCCGGCTTCGTCCGGAAGGTTGTCCTCTGTCCGGTCTAATTAGCATATTACGCTTTTATTATAGATGTGTTTCTGTGTGGTCTGTAAGAGACTAAAACTGCTTTCCCTTGGACTTTTCTCTTGTCTTTTCAATTCTGATTAAAGTACAGCTGGAAAGGAATTTACCAAAATATAAAGGGAACACACATCATGTATTGGAGCTCAGTTTCTTTTATGTTTGAGCAACTCTTGAACAGTGGAAAGCTGTAGGAAATTAAGGACAGCTAGCCACATGTGGGTACTGGGAGCTCTTACACTGGTTCTTTTCATCTGAAGACTTTTCTCTCAGCAATTTCTGAAGCCATTTAATTCATTATTATAAACACAGATGTTTAACTGTAAGTGTGGTCTGACAAGCCTGTGCTGAATTCAAAGTAGTGCTTCAAGGAACCTTGTTGGTCAGTTACTCTGTGCATTTTCAAGAAGACAAGCTTAGGAAAATTTGGTAAACTATCTACTATTTTTCCCCAGTGTATCAATAACTTTCAGGTAGATGACTTTTTGCCAAATAATATAGAAACCTTAGATTTAAGCTAACAGAGAGAATATGCAAGGTCTAATAGGTAAGCCATGCATACATTCATTAGATAATCAGCATTATACTAACTTTTATTACAAACTAGAGGCCCGGTGCACGAAAATTCGTGCACTGGAGGGGGGCTCCCTCAGCCCAGCCTGCCCCCTCTCACAGTCTGGGAGCCCTCAGGGGATGGCCTACTGACGGCTTAGGCCCACTTCGGCAGCAGCAGTGGGGTGATGGGGGCAGTGCCTTCCCCTGATCCTCCAGTCACCTCCACTTTAAATGGTTTAAATGGAAAATTTTATGTTATGTATATTTTACCACAATTTATTTTAAAAATAGATTTTTAAATGAGAGGGATACATGCAAAACCTCACTGCTAATTAGGCAATCAAGTAACAACTAACTGTTCAGGTGATGTTGTGCTAATGGGTTAATTCACTTTTAATGTTCAACTACTTGCTCTAATAATGAAATGTTTAAATACAAACATAAAATATCCATCTACCTATTAAATTTTCAAAGCACATGTTTTTATTTATAATCAACTTATTCACTGACTAGTGTTCATTTTATTTGGGGATTGGAATATGGAAAAAATATTTTTTAAATAGTTTCATTTTGAATCTATTTGCATATTACCATCATAATTAAGATCTCTGATGCATTCTTAAATAAAAGCACATTAATTATAGATTTTAAATCAACAGTGCAAAAAAAAAACACCTTTGTCTTTAATTATCTAGTTTTTGTCCCCTTGAATTGTGTAAAGAAATTGTAATGAAAAAGGAACTTACCAGAGAACAGTGATTGGTCCTTGGAAGTATATCATCTTTTCAGAAGGAACCAGTGTTAGACCCTGAAATGTTATGAAACTTGAGTCAGTTTAAACATTTGCTCTGACTTGTTTTTTTCTTTTGTATCCGTACTTTCCCATAGCAATTTCTAGTAAGAGAAAGGTCAGTCTTTAAGACTGGAAGTGCTTTCCTTTGAGTTTTATTTAACACATAAATATCCACTCTTAGGCAACAATGTTTCCTGACATTTCCTTTCATGACGCTATGATGACAGTTACAGAACTAGTAGTCATGAGACCTATTACTTGTGATGAGAACAGTGATCAGATCCAGTAAAACAAAGCAAAAGTTTGCAGCTTTTTTGTTTCCTTAGAGAAAAGATTCTGAATCATTTTGAGACTGAATTTTGATAATACATAAGGTGAACTTAGTTCTCAGTGGCAGTTTAAGCACATTTAAAGCATTCTCTTAAGATTTTAACATATTGCTCAACCTACTGTGAAATAAAATAAGTGTATTTTTTATTGCTTGGATATTCTCTCTTAATCCCTTTTTTAATACTGTCATTTAAGAAGCATTAATATCTACATTTTTATTTTTATTTTTATTTTTGTAACTCTAGCCACTAGGATTCTAACATCTAGATATGACCCAAGGTTTTTTGGAGGGTTTTGCTAAGGCACGTGAAACAGATTGGCAAAATGTAAAGCAGAGTTTAGCTATTTCTTCCTTTTTAACTGAATTTATTTTCAGATTAGGTAAAGTTAATCACTGGTATCTCAGTTGAGTTATTCTTGTATTATGCTGGAATCTGTGGTTTTCCGAATAGCAAAGTCACACTGAAATACCAAAAGAGCTATGAAGATGGGAGTACCAGTCAGTAATCAGGGCTGAAGTCAATTAGGCAGGGTTTAGAAATATAGGCAAAACGTTTCCATAAATGTAACAGTTAACACCACATTCATGCTCCTGGGTTATTTTTCAGATTATTAACACTGACTGCTCTCAAATGCATCATTACTATCAAAACAGCCAGTGGGGGCTGGACTGGTAAAATAGCTGCCAGGTTAGTAGAATTTATCTGCAAGGAAATATATATTTTAAAATTCAATGTCTGATTCTACTTCATATGCCAATTATTTAATAGCCAAGGAATGTTTTTCCCCTGTGTGAAAATTGACCCAGAGATAAGTATTTCCCAAAAATGTACAAAGTGAAAGGAAAACAAATAACTTAGAACCCTAGCCCTTAGAGCAATGATCAGCTGGTTGACATCTTTCACTTCATGCCAGAGGTCCATCGAGGAGCTGGCGTCGCAGGACCATTGGGGGCGGAAGTCAGCCTGGAGCATAGGTGTCAACACTTTGGATAAGTTCTTCCTTTCGTTTGTTTGAAAATGAAACTGAGTGTAGCCATTTTTTAAAAAGCAAGTCTTTTCTATTGTCAACACTTACGGTTACTGATAATTACTTAAAAGCTGAAATCAATGGCAAAATAAAAAATGTCAGAGAGTTGACATGGGCAGCACAATTAATTGCACACTCACACACATACAGGCCCAGCAGGCTTGAGAGTGTGACCTAGCATGAGTAAAGCCACAAGGAATTTCCATTCACCCATTAAACAAACATTTATTGAGTATCTAGTATGTGCCAAGCTTCATATTTCTTGCAGCTAATAGCCCTCTGACTTTTCAGGTCATTTATTTTAAGGAGGGAAAATACAATTTGCTATTTTTAAACCCAAATACTTCAACAAGAGAACTGACTTTGATTGTTGTAATGAATTTGAGAGTTGTTTGGAAACGTTGTGATAAAGACATTTTTCCTTAAGATAAGGCTAGTAATAGTAAACCCAAGTAGTAATCAATAGGCAAGATTTGACTGATTCATTGTAATAGTAATATGTCTTTCCAGTAAATGAATACTTAAAGTAGAGTGCTAGCTGGAATCGACTGTTAGGTGGTTGATGAAAACCTAGCCAAACCTTCTGTGGTTTCCTTTGTTAATATATGATCCCAAATTGAAATTGAATAATTGCCCAGGTAACAAATTAACTTCTTGCTTTAAGTGTGAGGGTGCTGCCCATGAAACAGGTCAATCTTACCAAAAATAGTCGCCATATTTTCTTTGCAAGAGATGGGGGGAGAGGGTGATGAATACCTAGTTGGGTTTGGAGGTAGGAGCATGAGCTGTGAGCCACACTTAAGGACATGTGCAGGAGTGGGCCTGCAGGAGTGAAGCTTTCTCCCAGATGCTGCCTGATGGTGGGTCTGGGTGTGGTGGAGGGGCTCATCAGGCCCTGAAACAAAGACTAAAGATGACATTTGAATTAGCCCGGATTAGCGCGACCTGTATGGCAAGCAAACCTTACGAATACCATGTATTGTTTTGACCATTTTTACAAGAGTCTTGTACTTTTTTTTCTGCCAAAAAAGGGCGGGTCTGACCATATTCCTGAGAAAACACTATAGTTTAATCAATCTAACCCTATTTAGATTTAGCTTTTTTATACTATTGGGGCAAAGACTAAATAATTGGTTTTATGGAGGTAAGACATGTTATTCCTCCATCTGGGTCTCCAACATAATAGTATACTTTCCTTTTGTTTCTTTTGTAGTAGGATGTTTTTTAAAATGAGGTCATTCCCTTATAATTCTGGTTTTTCTATTTTTACTGTCATTGATTTCACAGACTTGTTCCCTTTCTGCCTTTTCCACCAGTTTACTACAGTGTCCCCAGCAGTTCCTGAATTCTTGAAAACTCCTGCTACTACGGATCAGCCCCCCATAAGGTCCACAGCTCCTGTGCTCCCCTCAAACACTGTGTCCTCAGCAAAGCCTGGGCCAACACTGGTAAAGGTGGGTACCCCACATACAAACTGGTTTGAGTATCTTGTGACTCTTGTCTGTAGCCCCACACATGTAAGACAAAGGCATGTGTCCACATCGCCCAGCCTGCCTGTTAGCCTGAAGCCTTGAAAACAAAAGCATGGGAGGACTTGGCTAGACCAGGCCTTAATATTTGAAACTACCACCTTCAATACACCACCTATTATTCTGCAATCACAGAACAGCACAAACTATGGTGTGTATAAACTACTGGAGCCACGAGGAAGGGTGTAGGGGTCATTCTCTCAGCAGTGCCCAGTCCTGCCCCCACCCGGGCCATCAAGACGGAACAAGGGACACAGGGTAGATGGAGGTGCTTTCACGCGAGTCCCAAATCTCACAAACAGATCTTTAATGGTAACATGATTCTGGACTTTCTACACAAGGTTAAACTCAGTGGTATTCCAGATATATTACATGACAGGTTAAAGGTTTAAAGAAGTAAGCATGGTTTTTTGATTTAGCAGATTTGGCCAGATGAAGCTTGGTTTGTTCTCCAGATAAGCTGCAGATTTGTGGCATTGTTCCCTAGTGTTTTACTTGGTCAGAATAACTCAGAATAAGTCCCAAAGAATATTAAAATGTGGACTCTATAGTACATTTTTCAAGTTTTTTGAAGTGTACTTAGAACTGCTGAATAAAGTGGGGGTAGCGGATAACCTGCGGAGGAGTTTAATCATTTCAATGTGCCTTTTGCCAAAACTAGCAGAACACAGATCTCAAACTAAAAAAGGACATTAGGGAGCCAGATAACCCTCTTACTACCTTTCAGATGAGGAGACTGAGGCCCAAAGAAGTGAAGTGACCAGGCCAGGAAGGACTCAGTCTCCCAAGTTCCAGGCCAGCCCTCTTTCTGCCTTCTCAGTTAACCCATTGCAAGGTTCTTCAGAGGCACAGTCCTCATCGCCATCTGCCCCTGAGCCTGTCCTTGTCCTTGACAGGAGGTTCTCTTTCTACTCCTGGCTCTCTTTGTCAGTGTGGCTGAGTCTATGTGGCTTCAAGGGTATATAGCAATATAGTTCACCATCTACCATTGCTAAGTATTGGAGCCAGAAATTCCAGAGGGTGCCAAGTGGCAACTGCTTCAATAAAATCAGCTCTTACCTCCTCCCACATCCCCAAGCATGTACCACAATGGCACAAAGAGCATTTGAATGCCAACCCATCTTTCCCTGTAGAGACTGAGAATTTGTTCTCTGCCTCTCCTACTCTTCAAAGTTCTGCTCTTCACTATGTCTGTCTTTAAGGAGGGCCTTGGTTCAGCGGCAACAGGCATTGTGTAAGAATGTGAGGTTCAGGGGTTGGGAAGGTAACCCTAGGACTCTGCCAGTGGAGGAAAGGACGGTACATATTAGGAAACAGACCACAATTGTTTGGCTTTTTCTATGAGGAAAGCTGTTTCCCATCCTCGCTTCCTGAGAGAATAAACATGTCCCAGCTAATAGGTAATAGCAGATTTGGTCTGAGGAACACTGGTTCTTGTGTTTGTGTCCCCTCTCTTGTCAACAGGTAGCTTCCTGGTCGCAGTCGAGTCAGTGTTTTACCATTACCTAACAGTTACAGTCACAACTCCAAAACCCAGACCCCATTCATTGTTATGCTCAGTTTGAAAAGACTGGAAATAAAATGTATTATTGATAAAAACATAAGCACATGACAATGAACTGATTAATATTGTGAGATTACAGGAGGATTTTTAGTGGGCAAGGATATTTTCTGACATTGTGATGTGTAGTAAGTGATAATTCAAGTGATTTCTAATTGCATACACATTCATCATTAACTTACTCAGCAAATACTTATCTAGCACTTGTGATGTGCCAGACACTGTTCTGGGTATGAGAGTCAGTGAAGCAGTGAAGGAAACATGACAAAGCACCCCACCTTGATTAGGACTGAGAGGTAAACAGCAAAACAAGAGAGGGCTGGCGGTGAAGATAAAGTGAGGACTGGGGCTGCGAGCAGACAAGGAGAGATGTTTCTATTCCTAGTAGCATGCTTGGGCGAGATCTAAAAGAGGGGAGGGAGTTGCCATGAGGATATCTGTGGGCAAAAAGTAAATATTAATAGCGATGGTTTCTGGTCTTTTTTTCTTTGTTGTTTTTTTTTAAATTTCCTAACTCGAATATGAACACATATAAAATGATCACACCAATAGCCATATTTAATGTA